CGCACACGGCCGGCTCATGTTCAGACTCACTCTGCTTAGCAGAGGCACGGGCATGCACGGATAATGGAACGTGACGGAAGGCTCCAGGACGGAACACAGCCAAGGCCTCGGGAACGTCTTTGTTCCCGACACAAACCCAGTCCCTTTCCAAACAATGGATTTTCCCGTCCTACCTACACACGTGCCTACGCTACACCCCTGCACTACGGGTGCAACACCCCCCACCCCACCCCACCCCCGTTTACGAGGAGAGGTAATGCACTGATAACAGCTTTAGGGTATACAAAACACAAAAACCCCCAGACTCGTGAAAGAACGGGTTAAAACTTGCGTCCTTTTTCCAGGTTTAACAGGAGATCCTATTTTTTTTTCATCCCCGTGACAACAGAGCCCTTGCCCACCCCTTGCTGGGGAAAACCCTGCCTCTTGACGTCTCCACAAAGCAGAAAACGGGGTTTCCTTCAGAGAGATGAGGACGGGACAGGCTGTATACGCACTCAGGAGCCCTGGTCATTCCAACACACCCTTGTCACAGGCGTACCCCGAGCTCCCGACGTTCAGAACTCCAGCGGGGAAGCTGTTTTTCCTCACGTACTTACCTTTCCACTGAAACCTTCAGCTTTGGCTTGCAGATGTTGTCATCGCCGCAGTCCAGCAGGATGTGTGCCTGTGCAGAAATCAAAGGCGCATCGGTTCAGTAACGCCTGCGGCTGTCCTGACACCCGTTTCCAAAGCTTCACCACCAAATCAAGAAAAATCCTAAACAAGGTGGTTCTGAGAGACCTCCCATCTCATCAGTCCCGGAAGCGAACACGTGGCTTTTGTGTCTGGGGGCACTGTGCCCAATCCTGCCACGCTCCAGGTCTAGGGCTGATGGATACAGGTCTTAACCCTCTTTCCATACTCTGAACAGCCTGTTGATTGTTCCTGAGTTGCATCACCAATATCCTCTTTGCAAACGAGCGTAGAATCATAGACTCATGGAACGGTTTGGGTTGGAAGGGACCTTAAAGACCATCCAGTTCCAACCCCCCTGCCATGGGCAGGGACACCTTCCACTAGACCAGGTTGCTCCAAGCCTCATCCAGCCTGGCCTTGGACACTTCCAGGGATGGGGCCTCCACAGCTTCTCTGGGCAACCTGTCCCCGTGCCTCCCCACCCTCTGCGGGAAGAACTTCTTCCTGATATCCAATCTAAACCTCACCCCTTCCAATTTAACCCCATTATTCCTTGTCCTGTCACTACAGGCCCTTGGGAAAAGTCCCCCCCAGCTTCCTTATAGCCCCTTCCAGTGCCTGGGGGGGCTACAAGGCCTCCCCGGAGCCTTCCCTTCTCCAGGCTGAACACCCCCCACTCTCCCAGCCTGTCCCCATGGCAGAGAGGCTCCAGCCCTCGGAGCATCTCCGTGGCCTCCTCTGGCCTCGCTCCCACCGCTCTGTATCTCTCTGATGTAGAAATTTGTATCAAGGGCAGAAATAGCAAAACTCTGTTTATTCCCTCAAGAGAACTATAGGGATAAACATAAAATACACAGAGCAGCACGGTAGGAGCAAGGGATGAAACACCCCGATCCTTCAGGATTAGCACCTTCAGTTCCACGCTACCCGCTTCTCTCCAGAAGCCTGTCCGTTAGTACGTGCCCAGGAAGCCCAGCACTAAGGAATAACGTGGCAAAAAAGACATCTGACGCCGGGAGAAGGAAGAAAAGCGGAGAGAGACATGCAGTAACAGTATTTCCATAACCCAAAGGCTTAAGGCCAGTCCTATCTGGATTTTTCACAAGTGCCGAGGTGAAGGGAAGTATGGAAAGCAGAAACCACATCCTGGGTTCTCTCCTGACAGACCGAGTGAGCGGCGTACCTGTCTGCTCATGTTAGCAGGGGTGAACTGGTTGAGGATAGGGTGCAATCCCGTTGCATCCGCAGCTGTTCTGTAATCCAGGCGGTACTCCATAAAAATCGTAATGGGAGTTAGCTTGTCTCTAAATTCAGATTCATCCTGAGGAAAGCAAAGATTCGGATTACAATGAGACCAACGTGAAGGAAAACAGCAACAGACAAAAATGTCTTTCAAAAGCCCACGGGTGACCAAACAGTTGCCCCAAGAGCAACGCTGAGTATTTTTTACTTATGGTTCACGCTGTAGTAGGGATGAGGAAGCCAAAACAGCGGCGAGACTCCCTGGGATTTTTTTCCTCTCTGAAATCACCGCTTTGCACTTGGATTCGCTGACTTTCATGCTCATTTCCAACCACGCCGCTTACCAGACGTGGGTCCTGCCTTCTCAGGCACTCGCACACCGTCCCGTAGCGTCACCTAAGCCACAGATTCTACCAGCGTGAACTCTGCCTCGTTATTCTCATTCCTGAGACTCTCCTCCTTCGCGTTTTCCGCTGGTTTTGCATCCCGTTTAACGTGACTCCACGTGGGTCACTTTACGGAATGCCGGGTGGAGAAGTGTCAAAGCTCTGCTGACACCGAGGTCTGGGATGCCCGTTTCCATACCCATCCCACTCACAAGGCCAGGCAAAGAAAGGTGTCACCTATCTTCCGTGAATCCTTCACGTTCGCTAGTATTTTTGTTGGGTTCGGTGGGGTTTTGGGGTTTTTTTTTGAGGGAGAGGAGTAAGGATTGGTTAATGTTTGATTTGTAAGCACTCAGCGGTAAATCCGAGCTGCCTCTAACCTACACAGCTACACTTTCACACGCCTCTCCGTTTTTCAGCCAGTGTTCCTTCTACTGGGTCACACTTCTGAGCTCTGTCTGTGGGTCTAAAACAGACAGAAAAAGCCCACTTAATATTTCAACCTTCTCTGTCTCTGTTATTTGTTGATCTTTGGAGTCGCAGATCCACGTTTTTCTCTACTCCTTCACCCCCAGAGCAGAAGCATGACCTCCTCTTGTCGACGTTCACGCTCCCTGGAAGCGGTATCTAAGGTGACCTGCCCAAGAAGTCCCTGACACAGCTCGGAATCGATTTAGTGACCAGGACCTTGGCTGCGGTGACATCCATCATTCATCCCCCGGCAGCAGCGACCACCCAGGACCCACATACAGCTCTACTGATTTCAGTCCTATCCATTAGGCGTGGAGTTTCTCTACCATTTCAGGGTTTTTTCCTTCTTTTTTTATTTTTAATATAAACACTTAACACGAGACACTTGCCACAGACAATGCACCAAAAAGCACACGGCTGCTTACCCTCAAAAAGGCATCAAGTTCTTCACAATTCATTTTGCCCCCCTTCGTAACAGTCATGTTCTTGGAGTGGCTGGGCTGTCTGCTGTGGAGAAAGAGAGCTCTCCGTATGGCTCCCTTCTGCTTCAGTTTATCCAAAAGCAGCTCCACTTGGAAATCTGTCCAAACCAAAGCGTTTAGGTTAGGGGTGCTTCGTTCCACACAGCGCAGCGCAGATTCCCATCAGAAACGGGGCTAAACGCCCATTTCGGCTACAAAACTTCCAGTTCCTTCGGGTAAAATCCGTTACCACGTCAGCGCTCGCTACGGCAACTAACAAGCACTGCGGTCGTCCCAAATGACTCCGCTTTTTCCTTAAAAACTGGAAACGTAACAGCACGCCATACATTTACAATTCCTACAGAACTGCAGGATCAGAAGTGAATCCCCTCCCTTCCTCCAAATTTAAGGCAGTTTTGCACAGAATTCTCTGATTGTATGGCTAGTCCAATTGCTTCATGGGACATAATGAAATTTCAACGATGCAACAGGTATTTATCGGAATCTTCCCCGACCGGGCCTCCTCTCCGCGTGCCCGGCCGTAAGGGGCAGCGATGAGCGAGGACGACGGACACGACGTCAAGAAACTTGAAAAACCAGCAGAACTTACTGAGGGAATTGGGGAGCTTTCCTTTGCCATCCGCTTTCAGGCAGAACTTCACTTTGAAGCTGTTTTGGAGGAAAAGAAAAGATTAATTTCGGACACTTTCGCTCATTTTCTTCTTCCCTGTTTTTCCTCGGGTCAAAGGTGTCTCCTTCTGAGACTCTAGCTCACCCCCAGACGCTGTTTCTGCTGGTGGCAGAGAAAGGATAACCTTTGGGGGGACAGCAGCCCAAAGCTTGGGAGCCTGGACTCCCGTTGGAAGCAGGGTGTTTACCCCTGCCCTCAAACGTGGGCCGTTTATTTTGAAAGCCAGAAGGAGCTGGCATGCCCAGCTGAAAAAGGAAGTTAGCCTTAGGGAGGGAAAAGGGGGTTTGGATGGCAATCCAGGACCAAGAACCAAAACCAGTTGGCCGAGCAGATCCTTTCCCAAGCGCGTGCCGCAAACCCGCTCCACTTTTCACCCCAAAGTCGGGGCGGGAGGAAAAAGGTAGCAGACGCGGTACGAGGGGTTCCGGCCTTGGGAAGATCTTGCTCAGCTCCACAGACGCCCGGCAATCCGTGCAGGGAAGACAGAGCTTAGGAGCCAGCCTAATGCCTACCCAACGCCGCCTCGGCCCTCCCGCTGTTGCCAAGGCGGTCTTACTTTGTACGGCTCGTTCTTTCAGAAGAAAATAGTAGAAAACCTGTGTTTTATTGCCTTTTTTTTTTAATTAGTTGACTACAGACTTCCTGAGTCCTTTCAAAATTGAAAGCTTATGAAAATAAAACCAAAAAGCTCCCTCCCCTCACAGGAAAACGAAGATACCCCGCTTACCAAGAAACCTTCACGTCCGACAGCGAACAGGCTTTGCTCTCCGGGTTTAGGATGGTTGGATTAACTTCCAGGGCTGCATTCACCCTAATAACTGGTCTAGCCCTGGAAAAGAACACATCCCCTTGAAGAGCATCCCACACCGTGTTAGACCATACCCTCGCCATCCGCCCGCGGGAGGCACACTCGGGCAGCACCCGGGGAAACCGCAAGACAAAACAGAGCGTCACTCAGCAGACGAGGGGAAAGCAGGAAGCTTTCCCGTGCCCTTCTCTGCCGTCAGAACACGGACACTCTGTTAGGAGGCCGTCCTGTCCGTTTCTAGCACAGCCAAACGAGGTGTTTTCCCAAAATGAGCAAGTTTGGGTGGGAGTATCAGCGTTAGGAACGCGTAGCCGTGGTGCTGGAGGACGAGGTGTAGTGGGAAGGCGGTGTTGGGGTGATGGTGGGAGTGGATGATCTCAGAGGGCTTTTCCAACCTGTGGGATTACGTGATTGCAGTGTAACAGCTTGCAGCACCCTGTATGTGTCAGAATCTAGAAAACTGCCACCCAAAACCCTGAGGGCAGCTTATTTATATTTTCTCCAAACTACAGATTTTTGAAAGGCCAAATAATAGAATCATAGAATCATGGAACAGTTTGGGTTGGAAGGGACCTTAAAGACC